TTATGTAACTTTCAAATAAATTCATTTGAGAAATTCTTGTGAGATCTCATAAGTTTATAGGGTCATAAAATTAAATAACATAAGAACAAAATTTTGAAAAGGCAGAATTTATGTTGAAAGGTCAAACTTTCAGCCAAAAAAAATTAATCTGGCGATATAACATGAAGGTATTTCAGTCTCTAAATGCTATAATGACATAGAGGTAAGAAAACTAATGGTTCAGCTATTTTTATCATCTTTACGTAAGATTCCTATGCTATCATAAAGTGTATATTTATAAGGTGTGTTTTTAACAAATAATAAACAAAATCAGAGTTTGTGTATCTTCTCAGTGCAATGACAAAGAATCTTTGCCTAGGACCTTGCTGTCATCCTTGTCCAAAGAATTGGGTCTGGTTCCGATGCAGTTGTTATTACTTCTCCAAGGAGCAGTTATCTTGGAGGCAGAGTCAAAATGTCTGTTTATCTCTAAATTCCAGCCTCCTAAAGATAAACAGAGATGAGATGGTGAGTTTTTACCAAGTGTCATAATAATATCAGAGATATATGAGATTGATTAACTAGATTGAACTGAGGAATCTTTAACATTTGCCCAAATTCAGCACTAGACCAATAGCTGAAGGATAATACTCATTTATCTTTTGTTTCCATTTTCACATGCAAAATATAGGTCTATGTGTTGGGTAAAAAAAGAGAAAAATATTTTTAAATAATATTTGATATTATCTTTATAAAAAAATATAAATAATAAATCTAGAGAGAGCCAGATATTATAAGGAATATCTCAATCAAAGAAAAAGAACCTGGTATATCCCAGCACTAATAGGGTATAGCCTTTCTAGCTCCAAATCTAATACCATTGTGTGACCAGTACATCCGAATCTGGAACACTATGTGAGAAGATAGATAATGGGTCCTAAATGTGCATCAGCATTGAAGTAAAGGTTCCATTGTGTCAGTTTTCCTAATAGAGAAGATCCTTTTTATTATGCACCCAAAGAGGTAGATGATGGGGGTAAAATTAATCTCTAAGAAATCTGTGATGGTTTTGTTCTTTTAAAAAGCTCACTCCTTTCTTCTTCAAACCAACACTATTATTTTTACTCAAAAAAAAATTTATTTATTCTCTGTATCTCCCATAAAATGAGGATGTTGTGTTTTTCACTGCTACTCATCAGCATCTAAAATAGTCTTGTACCACAGGATACATTAATGATTTTGTGGGCTGGAGGAATTGAATAAATATACATATGATGGTGAATTTTTTAAAAGGTTCTTTCATGCAGTTGATGAAAAAATAATAATTTATGTATTTTTTTTTTTTTACCACCAGAATTTCTTCTCTTTGAACTCTTTCTTTTGGATTGGAGTCTACTATAATGAAACTTTCCATCAGTGGGTATGGGAAAATGATTCAGCTCTGCCCCCTTATTTGTAAGTATCTACCTGACATAAAGGGCTTACTTTAAGTATAATGTTCGCCTCAAGGAACTGCATTTATCAAAAAGAACATTAATGAAGGATACTTGGGCCTTAATTTCAAGGACATTTGAGGAACAGAGGAAAGAAATAGTGATTTGAAACCAATCTTATATACAGAATTGTATATTCTAGAAGTAACTAACATTTAATTCCTTAATCTGCTCTCCCTGAGAATCTTTCTTATAAACCACATTCGTTTTCTAGTGCTTCCATAACCAAGTACCATAGACTGGGTGGTATAAACGAGGACACATATTCTCTCAGAGGCTGACATCAAGATGTCAGCAGGTTGATTTCTTCTGAGGTCTCTCTTCCTTGACTTTCAGATAGCCATCTTCTCCCTATATCTTTGCACTATGCCCAGGTTTCCTTCTCTTGTGACACCAGTCATATTGAATTTGGGCTCATCATAATTATTTCATTTTACATCACCCATTCAAAGACCCTATCTCCAAACTTTCTGAGGATCTGAACATTTGAGTTTTGGGGAAATGCAGTTCAATCCATAATATATTGCCCTCTGACTCCCCAAACTTTCCATCTTTCTCATATGCAAAATACATTCTCAACAACTCCAAAGGTCTTAAATCATTTCAGCATCAACTTTAAGTCTACAATCTCATCTAACTCTCATCAAAATCAGAGCTGATACATGACTCATTCTGTGGCAAAATTCCTCTCCTGCTGAGAATTTAAGAAACCAAATAATTTATTGTATCTTAGGACATAAGGGTGGGACAAAAATAGGACAAATATTTCCATTCCAAAAGGAAAAATCAGATAGAATAAAGGGGCCATAATGAATCCCAAGTAATTCTGAAATTTATTAGGGAAAAGTCCATTAAATTTTAAGATTCAAGAATAATTCTTTTTGGTTCAGAGCAGTATTCTATCCCTTGGCCCCACCAGAATGGTGGCTGTGAACCCTTGACCCTCCATGGTGGTATCCTAGACTGATGTAGTTGAGGAGATGGCCCTTCCCTTCTAAACTGAGGTAGTTTCCCTTTCTCTGGAGCCAGGGAGGAGATAGCCCACTCCTGGGCCTGTTCCTCTATAATCTATCAACTTTTCAATTTACTAAAATTTTACTTGTTTATGCCACTGACAGAAATTAAATTTTGTTAAATTACATAAAAAATCATAATTTTAAAATTTGCATAAAACAAAAGTTGTATATTCCTTTTGAGATTGTATAGAATTCCATTGTAACTGTGATATTTCTTCTGTTTTAGGTTTCAGCTTCCTGGACCTCAAATGCAACAAACTTGTCTATCTTACAAATCAAAAGAAACTTATTTTTCTGAACGATGTAAAGAGAAACAAGGCTACATTTGTAAGAAGCACCTTATTTATCCTACAATGTCATCGGAGAGATGAAAGTTACTTTTTTTAATCCCATGTCCTGACAGCACTGCCAAGCTTTATAGATAAAATAATGTAAATTTATATCTTTGATATAATAAAAATGATATCTATACAAATACATTCCAGTGTGGCTAAAGTATACTATAATTTTTTTGAGCAGATACTTTTATTTACATGACTTTTCATGAAATAACACTGATAGTATTTAGGAGAATATTCATTTTATGAAACTTATAATAAATGATTTCTGAATTAAACAGTGAGATAAGGCCCCTGAGATAAGGTTAGAATGTTGAATAGTAAAGATCCTATGTTATATATAGTTATATGATTGTCACTATCATTGTACATCATGTGTGTGTGTGTGTGTGTGTGTGTGTGTGTGTACATACATGCATGATGCATGGCCTATAAAATTATTAAAATTTAGTGTTAAACAATAGCAAAGATTTTATATGGAAAGAAAAACTGTATGATTACAAAAGAAATAGAATGGTTTCATAAATTTTGCAGATTCGTTTTTCATCTTATTACAATATAAATGTCCAATTAGAACAACAATCTTTTTAGATATCTCTAGGCACATGGAGACAACTAGAGACACAAGCACAAATTTGAGTGATACAGAAGGCTTTGGTTAAAATCCCAATTGTAAAATTTCTACTTCTTTAAATTGTTCTGTTAGATAAGCATCTTTAAAACATATGAAATAAACAATTATTTACTTCAATTTAATCATTTTGATGGTTTTAGAGTTACTAAAATAATAAGGATAACAATTTGGCACTTATGTTTTCTTCATTTCTCTAAACTTCTGTGGCTTCTATACATACTGACATAGTAACCATCCTTTGTTATTTCATAAGACTGGTAAAATTATATTAACAGAAAAAAATATGTATTTTATTAGTGCATCTATTCTACTTCAACAGAAATAATGTGATCAAGACACAAGAATCAGATACTGTAGCTAGGCTTAGTGCAAAGTATTAGCTATTTCCCCTTCACCATACCTAGTTTACTAGATATGGCAAAACTCAGAAGAAAATCCCAGGTAAAAAGGATCTCATGGAAAATAATTCTAGTATGTACCATCCAATCAATGCTTTATGGCCCTCATGTTATTTTTCTTTGACTTTTCTTCTTATTATTCTTTTGGTGGATAAATATCATCATGGTTATGATTTTTGGTGGTGTCTCCTGTGGTCACACTTGCTAGAATGGTAACACAAATATTACAGCTACAGCGATAGTGATTGGCCACATCCATACTTGTGAACTTTACTTTTGGTCCCCTTCTTTTCTCTCTGAGCTACATCCTCTGCTCCTTGGTCAGGTACAATTGCTTTGATTCCCAATATTGTTTGCAGTGGCATCTTGTTTGTCAAACATGATATTCCTTCTGCCCACTACCCTCTACTTTGTCCCCAAGATTATACAGTCACATCAAAGCTACTGTACGTGTGAACTTTTACTTCGAGTGCAGTGACTCTGTATTTGGAAATATTCTGTTATGTACAGGGTGATGTGTCAGCCACACCTGTTATACACATGGAGTATACTGAGCTGGCGACTGTGGTCTCACAGGAACAGTAGGCCAGGATCATATCAGAATCCAGAGATTTCCCCTAATCTCTCCACTTACTGTAACTAATAAATAATGGTCTCTGTTCCATAAGTATGTATATATGTGTGTATACACATATATATGCTCTTTTATTAATTTATCCTTTCATTTAATGCATTCACATATTCATTCTTTAAAAAATAATTACTTTGAAAGTCACTGGAGCTTAGACACAATTTGAAGATTATGAATATAAAAGAAAATAAGAAGGATCAAATCCTGGCTATCATGTTCCTTTTTCTGGCAGGCCTAACAGAGATAGATAACCATCAGACAAGCACTGTGGCAGAGTCAGTGTTCAACAGTATGTATGTATTTCCTTTTGTCTTCCCCTTTTCTAGACACATGGAGCTTTAGTGATAGAAATTCAATTTTGTTGCACAAAAGAGGTTGCAGCAATTTCTTAATTTGAG